CCTTTTTTTGGCAACGATGAAATAACATTAGGAAAATTGTCTCCCATAATCTGGAAGAGATTTTTCTCTTATATCTTCCAAGAACTATCTTCTGAAATCCGAGATAGCATCGTATGAGGTATAAAATTTATGTACTCTCGAACCCAATGTTGGTTGGTTTTAAGGGAAACAGATTACTTCTTACTGTAGTATAAGAGAGATTTTAAGTGAGCCGCTCTTGCTTTTAAGCAAATGAAATTCTTTTGAAAAGAGAGTTTGGTGTTCTGTGAAAGGACTACTCTTTCAGTAAAATGAAGGATTTGTATCGGACTTGGCGAGCTTTTCGGTTTCTGTTATAGTCAACCCCTTGGAGTAATAGAGGCATATTTTATGGTTGGGAGGTTGTGTGAATGGCTTAACGCTGTTTAAAAATTCAAGATTCCGAAAAAAACAATGTGATATATTGTGCTTTTTGAAAGTAGTGGTTTGAATATATTTAGTACCCTTTATGCATTTATTTTTATACTAAATTATGTCTGGTATTATATGGTCAAAATGCATGGTAGTTTTTTTATTTCTAAAAAACTTAGTTTTTTAGAATTCCAGGTGTACATAAAACTATTTTACAGATTTTTAATTTAATAGTTCTAGACATTCAAACATTTCCTAAAACAGCCCATACAGCTGGAGGATCAATTTAAAAAAAAAAGGAATTTGTAAATAGCTTAAAAGAATATTTCATCCATCAAAGTAGCTGGGAAAAAAATATGGTACCAGAAAAGGGTAAAATTTACCATGTTTCTAAGTTCTATGGGGACACCAAAAAGCTCAGTAATTCTTGCCGAAACGCTTTGTTAATTATTTCGGTAAAATTAAAAAAAATATGGTTTTAAAAATATGTGATAGAATTTGATAAAAGTGGTAAAATATTGTAATTTAACTTAGAGCATGTCATAAAAACCATTTATTCAGTTAATTTTTTCTTTTCAGTTTTTCATATCTTACTTAATGTGTGGTAATAAGAACTATTACTTTGAAAACTAAAATTTTCAGTAAACCATTACTATATGAACGGAAAAATTGCCAAATGAATGATTTAAATACCGTATATTTTAGTTCCATAAACCAATTTTTTTAAAAACCAAAATTGTTATTACTGTACAGTACGGAAATTTTACCAATTTTTTTTTCTCCGTGATCTCCGTAAATATTTTCTCTACAAAAAAAAACAGTACTTTGTACCGATTCTGTCAAGTACTTTTAACGTTATTTAAGAATAGTAACACGGCTCTAACGTAACTAATTTTTTTAATTTGATGGGTACAAATCTTCGCGTGTCAGTAAATGGATGAATTGAAAAGGACCCTATGGCTGCAAATGAGCGTTTATAGAAATTACATATTTATATTCCCGTATAATTAATATATAAACTAGCCATTATGAGAAATGGATAATTAATTACTTTGATTTCACTTTACGCACGCGAATGCACAATCGCAAAACATTGATGCTATTTCAAATAATGGAAACGTATTTACTTAATTTCTTAGAGGAAATAAAAGAGTATTTAAAATTAAAAAATTGCAGGGTTTGATAATTTCGCATTTCTTAAATTGAATATTTTTGGTCGAAAAAGGCATAAAAAGTTAAAGGTTAAATGAACGAATTCGAAAAAAATTTTTTTTGAATAATAAACTGGATTATATAAAACATGAATAAATAATTCGCATATATTTCATTATATTTAATGTAAGCCAATTTCTTATTCAGAAACCATTTTGAACATAGGTGTAGAATACGTTCTCCATCAAAGTTTTTCTTCTTAAAATAGTAAATTATTTACTAAAATCTAAAGTAGTTTGTAGTCACTACATTTAAAATAAAGTAGTTGCAGTTGACTACTTTGTAACAAAGTAGTTGTAGTAAACTATAAAAATAATGTAGTTTCTCTGACCACTCGTAATGACATTTCTAGTAAAAAAAACTATAATTCTGATTATAAAGCCAAATTAAACAGTGTTTAAACCATTTATTTGGAAATTTTTCCGTTAAAATGTTAATGTTTTGCCAGAAATTCTAGCCTTTGAAATTATAGCTCTGATTACCAGATATTTAGTAAAAAATACAAACTGAAAAGTAAATTTAACCGAATAAATGGTTTTTATACCACGCATTAAGGTATTACGAAAAATTTCCAAATTTAACCATACATTAAAAAACTACATTTCATTATTATTTTACCGAAATCATTACCAAAGGGATTCATTAAAAATTGTCCAGCATTTCGTTGTTTTCATAGAGCATGAAACATGGTAAATTTTACCACATTCGGGTAGTTTTGACCATATTTTTTTCTCAGAGTTTGAATAATCTTTATTTCTTACTTTTTCTTACTTCCTAAGTTTTATTACAGTTTGTTAAACAATCTTTATTTTAATAAGAAAATACTTAACAATATTTTTTTTGTTGAAAAAACATCTGTATCTTTGTGAGAAAATCTTAATGAATGTAGCATGTATTTAATATATCTCTTTGAAAAACATTTTCGTATTTCCATAAAAACCACATAAATATTCACATCAATATGCATATAATTGATCTAGTACATTGACATGTAAGCAAATCAATGAAACAAAAGTAATAAAATCACTGGTTTTTTTTAAAAAAATTTCGAATTTATTTACAATTTCTTTTTCCTCAAAATACAAAAATGTTTGATTATATTTAAAACAAATTTATAGATTTCAATGTAAATAAATATATACAAGTAAAACTAGCAAGTCCTAATTTAGTACACAAGTAATCAGTAACAACAATAGTAAACTTATTAGAGTTTGAATGCAGTTTGAGCAAATTTTAAGACATCACTGAATAAATATGTACTATTTTTTCCAAATTCTATGCCTCATTTTGAATAAATTGGTATAATTTAAGATTATTTATTATGATGATTTCTGTAAGATTGATTCGGAAAAAAATTTAAAATTTATTGGAATTAAATATTTATAAAAATCTTCTCCAACTTGTTCATTTTTTATCGTAACGCACATTGTATCGCATCATTATTGTATTTATTATAGTACACAAATAATAACTAACAACAACAGTAAACAAACTAGAATTGGAATGCAATTTGAGTAAATTTTAAAATGTAACGGAATAAATATGTACTATTTTTTCCGGACTCTGCGCTTTATTTTGAATAAATTATTATTAATTAAGAAAAATTTTATTATGATGCTGTAAAATTTATTTGAGATAAAAAAAAATTAGCTTAAAATATATCAGCTTTTTCCAGATAAAACATAACCTGAAATACATTATATAATTAAATATTTATAAAAACTCTTCTCCGTCTTGTTTATTTTTTTACCTTTTTTGCATTTTGTTTAGTCAAAACTTAGGAGCTTAAAAGCTTAATGAAAAATAAAATGGTTTCTTGTTAAATTTTCCTTCCCTCCACATGCCTTTTTATTTTCCATAGGTTATGCGAGTTTTTTCTAAATTTAATTTAAAATATTCATTAATTTTCTAGGACTTATTTTTGCTTTTAGTTACTTTTCAAAAAGGGTGAAAAAATGGTATCATTTTTCTGAGTGAATATCACAAACTAAGCATTAAAAATAATTATATTTTAAACTCCTGCAAGTTTTGAGAACGCATGGGAATGAATTTACACTAAAATAAAAATTAATAAATGCTGTTGCACTTAAGGAAAAATATGAATTCTTACTATTTTCTTTCGAGAAATGAATCTAACTTATGAATAAATAATATTAATTTGGAAAACTTTGATTAAATCCACTAATGCAAGTTCTTTATTTTGTATGCTACTTCTATCCCTGATATGACATTTCAGTAATTACTCAAGCAAATGTTTTGGTTAATTGTATTAAGAAAATGCTTATTTTTTAAACAAACTTAGCATTTCTCTTTAACAAATTAATTGGCATGAAATTTCTCAGCGCATTTTTTCCTCACAAATATATTAAATTCAATATTTGAAGCTAGATTTATGTAAATATTTTATTGGTATTTATTTTTATACATAAAATGGAATAAAGAGTTATGCTTTAACTTTTATCTTTCAAATAAATACCTATTGTGTTATATTCAACAATAAGATGACACTTAATTCCTATGAGATAAGTATGAAAAAGTTCGCTTCTCTTGCAAAGTAAAACTACAGTACGATTTTGAAAAGATAAGATTACATATTTTGATCAACAAAAATGAAGTTAATTTTTCCTTTTAAATAATAACTATCTAAACTTTTTTCAGTGAAACTATTTACTTATTTATTTTCTCATTTATTTTAACGTAAAAAATTATTCTTGGGCTGTTAACTTTTTCCTTATTCCTTTGAGCATTAGTTTTAAATTAAAAACAATCACCAATAGATTTTGTTTAGCATGATATATTACTTTTTATAGTGAACAGTACTCATTAGTTATTCAATAAAAATTGAAACTTTAAATGATGTTGTTTTATATCACAGTATTTAATCATATATGTGCAAATTCATAATTCTAAATAAATATTTTAGGTACTATTATTGTGTCATCTGTATGAACAAGTGTTTTGAATGCGTGCTGTCACGTCCTTTTGAATCACAAAAACAATTAGCAAATATAATTAAAATATTTTTAAACAGCTTATAAAAACTGCACTACACTAAAATCAACCTAAGCAATTTTGAACTAGGAATTATTCTTTAAAAAAAAAAAAAAGAAGTCTCGAGTCGCTAGGAAATAAGGCAAAAAGTGAATTTTTTTTAATGGTATAATTTTTTAAAAAATAATGAATTAGAGTGATTTTTTCGCGTAATTTGTTACTTCCAAACAAAACAACATCATTAAATATTTCTTAAACGAAAAAATAATTTTTAGCTACCGAAAAATTTAAATCCTAGCGAAACTGTGCTGATCATTTTTCAAAAGATATGTCTTAATCAGTGTTATTGGTTGCCAGAAAAAATAAATTAAATATACTGTTTTCTTAACAAAAACGCCGCCACTAAATTCAAACTATCTACAACGTATATTTATTTTCATTATTCATTGTCATTGGTCACTATTAAAAAGGATTCCATCCGTCCTATTATTTTCTCCAAAATATATCCTGATTTCACAGTAGCATCTAACCAATGGTCACATTATTTAAAAATCACTTTAATTAGTTATTGTTGCTTCCTATATTGTAATTAAATAAAGTAGTGTCCACAACTACCAATCGCCTTTCTTGAATGTCATTATCTGGATAGTCATAGTCAGGTTCATCTTCAGGGATAGGTTTTCTTGGAGTATATTGCCTTTTTGATGGTTTTTGAGGTGCAGGGGCATATGCTCTTTGTGGTACTGGTTCAGGCCTGTAAACAGGTTCTGCTCTGTAAGAAGGCTCAGGTCTTTGAACTGGGCGTGGTCTAGCAGGTTGTGGAGCTGGAGCATAATTTTGAACTGGAGGTCTGGCTGGTTGAGGTGGTGGCACATATGCTGGTGCTCTGGCTGGTTGAGGTGGTGGCACATATGCTGGTGCTCTGGTTGGTTGTGGGGGAGGAACGTATGGTGCTGCTCTAGCTGGTTGAGATGGTGGCTGCTGTGGAGAAGCTTGGGAAGCAGCTCGTCGCGAACCCTCTTCGCCATCTTTGATTATTTTGAAACCATCTTTACCAGCTGTGTATTTTACAATACGTTGTACACCAGCTTCGTCCACGTAACCATAGGCACCCTGTACGGTACCATCTGGTAATCTAGTTTCTTCTCGAAAGCTTTGACCATCATCTCCTTTTCCAGTATCGTACCCAAACTTGTAATCGCCAGCTAATTCTGTGCCGATGTTGACATAATGTACTGAGGCTGGTCTCAGTCTGACGGAATTTGGTGACACTCGTGCTGGAGGGGGTGGGGGAGGTTGCGAGCGAGGTTGGTAGTCATCGTAGTCAGCCTCGTACTCTGGAATCGGTTGTCGTGGCGGGGCTCTTTGACGAGAATATTGTTGACATAACGCTAATGATACGAGACAGATGAATATTACCTGAAAATAATCATATTCTATTACTCTATCGCATGAAACCCCATAAAATATAAACAATAAAAATGATAACATAATAGAAAAAACAATTTTTAGAATATTTATTTCCTAACTAAACGTATTTGAGTGAAACAATATAATTTTCAAAAAAGAAATATTCTTATTGCATAGATCGGAAATGGCTATTCAAAATCATGTTTATAAAATAACAAGCCGAAAATCATATCGGCACATTTCTTATTAGTTGTAGATTTCCTATTGCATATGAATTAGTAAAATTGTAACTGTTTTTTTCTGAAAGTAGCGTTTCTCTTCTTCCCGGACTCAATAACTCCATTCTGCTTACTTAAAAATTTAATAATATTTTAAGCTAAAGTTTTCCATGTTACAGATATAATTTCCATAATTTTCAAGATGTTAAATTTTTCAGTGAAACGGTTAAAACTTGAATAATTTATAAATTTGCGATTTTTAGATTACCCTAAAAAAATCTAATATTACCTCAATCAATAATCCGATATTACATCAATCATAAATTAATAAATAATTTTTATTTCCTTAAAAAATGAACTTATTAAGTTGCCGTGATTTCCTTACAACATTGTGAATTTAAAAAAAAAAACATTTTTTTGTTCTCATTATAGATAAAAAACAAGAATTTAAAATATTTTTTATGATCTAGTCAAGGTATTTTATTGTGGAAAATTTATAGAAATCATTTGATTTTCAAATATTACTTTAAATTTCAATATTTATTAAATAATTCTTTTTTCTTCTAATATTTAGATTCTCCTAAATATAAATATTTTTATCTAGCATTCGTACATACAAATTAATTATACGCTTTAACCAGGATTTCTTAATAAATTGAAACGAATTTCAATCAAAAGCAATTTTCTAAATTAAGAACAGAAGAAAAGAAATAACTACTTCATAAAATTTTCATGTCTCAAAATCTTGGCATTTTGATAATCAATAAATGTAAAATAAAAGTAATTAGGAAATAGTGATTAAAAAAAAGCTTACTCTTTTAGTTTTTTGTAAAAGGTTTTTTATGAATTCCATATGAACTTAAAAAGTTAATTAACCAAGAAGTTAGGAGAATCTATTTTTTTTATTCTTTCAAAGTCAAGATATAAAAGCATTGAAAAATATTTAATATTTTTATTTGTAACAAAAAAGGGAAAAAAAGTAATTTTCCATAACACTAAAAAATTATTCAGATATGTTTCTTATGGTTGTATGATTTGCAATTGTTATTACAATAAATGGAAAAAAAGAGAGAATATTATAAATCATGAGGGGAAAAAAAGGTCAGACTCTGGGGAATTATTGCGACTCAAAAGTGATAGAAACAGATGAAATCTCTTAGGGGAAAATTAAACACCAGCTTTAATTCTCGTAAAACTCAAAAATCAAATTATATGTTCTTTAAAAGTTTAAGTGAAATAAAAAGGCGTGTCAGAAATAAATACGTTGTTGACTTCTCAAATTTTAAAGCCGTATTAAAAAACCACCAAAGGTAATTTTGAGCATAAATATGTTTATTCTTTTTGTCTAAGAGTAATTAATTTTCTAAACATTAAATCTAAGAACAACTAGATTTGTATGTATAATATATATATATATATATATATTGAATGGCTAATTTCAAAATGATTGTTCAATTTTATATTGTAAAAAAGAGATTAAAGGTTAAAAAATAGTACAAGTTATGATGTAACGAGTAGAATAAGTAAGAATTAGCATTAGAAGTCTAACATGAGAAATATAACCAAATTTTGATATTTACTTAAAAGAAAAACGAGGTTTTATCTCTGCGGAAAGAAACCAACAATAACACTCAACAACATAAAAGCAACAAAACCCTTGGTGGAAAACATTTGAATCGCGGAACGAAACAGGAAAAAGAGGTAAGGAAAAAGATAGGCTACTAACACAGGCAAAACAAAAAGTAATATGCTTTTAAAATTAATCATTATTTTTTTAAAAAAATAGCTTGCTTTTTTAGAATGTTTCGAAATGTAATAGTAAAAAGTATCTTCGTCTGAAGTATATCATCAAAAGATACATGGTCGTCATAGCAATTGAAAATGGAAAATGGTTCCCACTATTGTGTGACTAGTAATATCTTAAAATCGGGGATCCCTCTCATTTTTAGACATTTGCAAATAAACGAATATATATGTAAATAAGCCAAAACCCAATCGCAATCTTGAACGTAACAAGAGTTGCGATAATCCGAAGGTGACGTCAATTAAAGCAAAGACTGCAAAGTATATCATGGTAACCTGAAATAGGATTTCAGGGAAACTGAACGAAAGTTATCGCCAAACAAAGGGGCTCCCGATTCTACACTAGAGCTGAAATTTCCTCTTTTCCATACCATTTCCGGATAGCAGGCAACCTTGCGGCAAACGTTGTATTTTCCTTTTCATTAAGTTGGCATAGAAAGGTTGTCTAATTAAATCTTTTTCAAACTTAATCGAAATATTAATATGTCATGCTTGTTTCCTTAATGATTGAATGACGACAAGAAAAAAAATTACTAAAACATCTAATTTTTTAGGTTTTACTATTCATCTTGTTTTAACTTTTTTTCATTCCAGATTTGTCAAGGCTCTCAAATGAAACATTTTGTTGGTGTTGCAAATCTAATGATCAGGATAACCTTCTCTTTTAAAGTGCTGAACAAAGTATGTGAAAATCTGCGCAAATAAGGTTGTTTCATTGATGGTCATCAAATCTAAAATAAGATGAATTCATCCTCGATTTCAGAAGGTTTTGTATTTTTTTTTGCAAAGTCAGAATCTCGATATAAAAAGGTTATTTATACAAGCTTAATGGAAACCCTTTATCCCGTAAACTAGCCAAGTTAAATTTAATATTGTTTCAAGCTTGCATGGCTTGTTTTCTAATCATTTATAAACCTTGTTATGCTATGTGATAAAGGTTATTGCTGACAATAAAACCACCTTACACCGTCATCTGTGTATTTTCTTAGAGTTTTAATAAGTAAAAAAGATTGAGAAAAACTTTTCAAATGTAGTTTTTCAGTAAGTATAATAAACTTGCAAATTAACTCTTTAACAAGTCTCATAATAAATATACGATCAAAACAACTTATTTGTCACACTTTTTTATGATCATTTCCTATTGCACTATATAAAAAATGATAATTTAATTATCTTTCTCTCACTCTCTCTTTATCTGTTTATTTATATAATTTCTTCTTTATATTATTATAGATTTAATATAATATAATATGTATAAATAAAAAATATATTTTAGCTAACATGTTAGGAAATATCAGAAACTATTAATTAACTATGAATTAAGCATGCAATTCAACTTTCTTTTTGGTAAATCTGAAAAAATATCAAATTTGCCTTGAACAAATTTTTAATTTAAAAACATTTTATCCGCTTTACGCTAAAACTTCATTTTTTCTTAAACATTATTGTCAAAAATAATTCTAACTCTTTGTAATATAATAAGGAAATTCCATAAAGCATTATCTTTAATAAAAGTGTTTTAGTTATTAGAAAAATGTCCAAAAACTTTCAAATTAGCCGAAAGGTTTTTGTTGCATTATAAAAAAATATAAAAAATTATTATAACGTTCAAAAAATATTTTGAAAACAATACCTTTTGAATGAAACCCACACAAAATAGCTATACAAAAATTTTTTACCAAGTCTCGTTAAAGGTAATTATTAATTTATATTTTTAAAGCACTTGACTTTTTTTGCTTTCTTTTGAACTATGAAAACATTTTGACACTCTTATTCATAGCTGAAGTAAAGTCATTATTAGAAAGCAAATTTGTTTTTTTCCCTGTCATAAGTGATTATAGCAGCTCTGTCTTACAAACCATGGTAAAAACTTGTTTTTAATAGCAATTTTTACAGTTTTATAAATCTTTCCAATCGATATTTTTTTAATTAAATTTTTGACTAAGAATTTTTTTCTCAAAGACAGTTTAGATTACAAAAAAAATAATGACTTCACGCATTAATATTAAATGCCGATATATGACTTAAATATTTGTTTAAAAAAAACATTTAAAAGTAAATCTATTTAATTCTGCATAAGACTAGAAAATTTCTGATAATTATTTGCAAATAGCTTATAATTTGAGGTAACTGTATATGTAATAAATTTCTATTCTTTTCATTATACAAACTATTTAATTTTATATCCCAAGGAACAAAAATTTCTTTAAAAGAATTTTTCCTTGAAATGTTGAAGTAATTGTAGAAAATAAATCATAGTGACTGATTTGTAAAAAATTCCCAACTGAATTACACAAACTTGACCATTAATAATTCTTGAATTTAATCTTGTCTTGAATTAGAATATAATTCTATTCAACTCTTAAGTTAACAATTGCAAGAAAAATACAAAATAGAATTATCAAAGAAAGTGATTTAATAAGAATTCGCAGTTGAATTATACAAATTCTAACTTGAATGATAACTAAAAAAAATTAAGCTCTCCTTTAAAATCTAAATCACATAAACAATAAATTTTGAATCAATTAACAAAATGACAAATTCTTCATTTTTGCATTCCAAGCTGTAAATGTACAAATATTCACTATATTCTTTATACTAATAATATCTTATTTATTAATTCTTAATTTATAACTACAAATAAACTTGATGATAAATGATCAGGTGAATGCTTAAGAGCCGTAAAAAATAACTCCTCAGTTATGGATTTTCCTTTTGACCCCACGCTATATCCTCATTTATGTAAAAAAAAGATCTTCGTTCGTATTTTTTTCATTGCTTCAGAAATTAATTTCTGAAGTAATCAGCGCATAGTCTCGTGAATCTTAACTGAGAAAATAGCACCCCAACAGCGTTTAAAAATTAATGCAGTTAGTTTGAAAACAAATTACATGAAAAAAAAATGAAAACTATAAACAAACAAAAATAGGGTTAAGTTAAAATAATAATACAAAATCAAATAATTATGAGTAACGTTTAACATTCTAGAGTAATTTAACCAGTTTTGGAGATAAAGATTTTATCTGTCACTCACCGTTTTAAACATGTTGTTCTCAGGATGAGTTATTCCGAGTGATGACCAATCGCAAAGGGCGAATGATGGATATTTTTCTTTATATAGTGGAAGGAAGAAGCAATCGTTTGCAAATCTAGATGAAAAGTGAAGGTTCACAACTTTTTAAATTCTAATGTTTTAAAACCTGTCGCTTTTCAATTACGTCATCCATCCCAAATCTAGAGCGTTAAGAATATTTTGGAGGACAATTAGCTCCGATTAAAATGATGTCATATTTTTAAAACGATATTTTTTACTGTCCTAAATGAATATTCATTCAGGTATTATCGTTTGAGGAAACTGTTTCAGATTTTAAAAGGAAAATTCCCAAACGATCTTCTTTGTTGTAACTGTAACTAATGAAGCTTCAAGGTTAGGTTACGGAAATACGATGAGGTTAAAAGTAATAATATACAGATTCCGTTATACGCGTAAACAAAACAATGGGAAAACATTTTTTTGAAACACTTCTTATGAATGAGTTGTAAATGCTTAAATCGTGATTCGATTGCCAAATTGTGAAAATGTATTGCTTGATCTCATTCCAACGACTTTAAAATAAAAGTTTTAAAAAATATGAAAAGAAATTTTTTTATGTAGTATATTCAACTAGTTGAAGTGCAAAGGCTGGATCTTGCATTTCCATTTAAATTGGAAAACATAAATAGAATATTAGAATGCTGACGTGTGTTAATTATTTAATATATTTTGATGTTTCTCAATGACCTACAAAAACATCTTGTATCTTACTTATTATACTTGACATTATCGAGCAAGCCGCCTTACATTACACCGCCGTATCTCTCGTATCGTCTAATATAGTTAAACGCTATAGTTATAGCTCAGGGGAATAGTTAAAGTAGAGATCCCTCGGTATACCAGACTCTGGTAATTTTTAAGGTTAACAGCCACTGACCGGTATACATTTGCCCGGAATATCCAACCAATTTGCAGGTGTTTTTTTAAGGTTAAGTACCTTAAAGAAAACAAAAACGCAAAAAGAAGAAAATCCTTCTAGCACAATGTTTTCGTACATCAAATGATACGAAATATACAAACAACTGACATTGTCTAGCTGTTTGCGTAGCAAACTACCATTACACATGCGTATTGGAACTCTGCAGCCAAATGAATTGAAAATTATTACATTGACCAAATTATATTGGTAATTATTAATGATAACCAGTTAATAGTGATAAATACTGCTAGTTTATTCACTTTAACCAACTTATTTCGTTAGTATTAATATTTACCAGAGAACATTAGTATTAACTGATTAATTAGATTGACCACAACATGTAAACAAAGTTCATCTTGTCATTAAAACAGTTGAGGTATTTGATCAAATCACGTACTTTCTGTATGGAAATGATCCTACAGAGTAGGTATTTTATCATCTTCCGTGAATTGACAATGTTCCTTAGGAATTTGATCGAGTCTCCGTTTTTATCATCTTCCTGAGAAATATATGGGATAAGAACGCATTTCGCTGTAATGACATAAAACCGCTAAATAAGAAATCGTTTGTTACAGGAACTCCGTCTATAAAACTCATCTGAATGCGTAATGGCATAACTTTGGACGCTAATGAAAATCAGTATTTGATTTTCAATATGAACCCTATCATTCAAACTCACAGAAAATTTATTTAATTGAACAATGACTTAAAGACAGTACAGTGAAAAAGAAAATTATAGGACCACTGTGGATTTTGTGACTTTTATTATAAGTACAATACAGAACCCGTTATCCGGAAATCAGAAAACCGGAAAACCAAAAAACCGGAACGAAATTCGATGAATTTTCCCGCCCTTTTTTTTTTTTAAAAAAATTTTTCCTCATAAGATTTTTCTTTCTTTTTTGAAAGATTTTTACCTTACCATCATTTTGGAAATAATCATTAGTGTATTACTTCATCGTTTTTCCTTCTTTTTAAGATTATTTCCAAAAAAAAATTTCTTAGTTGGGTTTAACAATAAAAAAAACGGTTTTTTGTAGCGATTCAGAAAACCGGAAAAATCAGTTATCCGGAATAGCGATGGTCCCGATAGTTCCGGATAATCGGTTCCCTACTGTAATATAAATTTTCAAAAATTAAATTAAGTTAATGAAAATAAATAAGAAACAAAATAATGCATATAATTTTTAAGAAAAATATTTAAATATAAATACTTTGCAAACAGTATTAAAACTTTCTCCCACAAATATATGTTACAAAATTATAAGAGCACTTAAAATGAATTTGTTTAAAAAGCTAAAAAGATGTTGATACGCAATTCCTCTGTATAACTTCAAAGACTCGATTTTTCATCGACTTAATCAAGTTTTCAAACAAAGTTTTAGAAATTTTTCAAATTCATCCATGATAGCTATTTCAAGGTCGTATAGAGAATCGTATTGGCGATTCTTTGGATACAATGTATGCATGTAGACAAACAAGTTTTCTGTTGGATTAAGATCAGGACTATGGTTTGGGCGGCTTAGAAACCCAAATTTTTTTCTTTTTTAAACCAATTTCTGGTTGTTGGGATAAGTTCTGTTTCGTTGAAAGTTTGAAAATATATCTATTATACCGAACTGATAATTTACGCTTCACACAGGATCTTTTATATTTTCCATAAGAATCTTTTTTGCTTAAAGCATTATGAACTGTAGTTTTAGAAAGTTTAATTAACTTACATATTTGACGTTTAGAATTTCCAGAGCCTTTAAAAAAGCATTTTTTGAACTTATAGCTCACATATTTTTTTCCAGATAATTCTTTATGAATTTTTTTATGAAAACAAATAAATTAAATTCTCATTTTCCTTATAATGTTATATGAAAGGTAATACTCTTAAAAAAACTTCCTTTCATGGAATTGCCTTCTTAAAAGAACCCCTGGTCCTATGACTCGGATGATGCCCCAGATATCTATTGCATTTCTTCCGTCAGACTTAGTTTATAGCATAGTCTTATCAGCTTACCTAGAAAACCGGGATTTCCGGTTAACCGTAATGAATGGAATACATACCAAATGAGCTGTTTAAGTACCGTATTTTCCGGAATTATTAATCAAAATTACAAATTTTACCTGAAATGTCATTACGTTTTCTTACGTTGCGTTACGTGTTCTATGTTACAATACGGTAATTTTGTCAAAAAAAAAAATATTCCCCTTGTGTTACATTTAATTTTTGTTATTTTCAACAAAAAATAATTCTTTGTAAAAATGATTATTCAAAAATATTTTGTAATGATTACAAAAAAATTTTTCAACATTTTAAACTATATTTTTTAAATAAAAAATCTAACATTTGAACGAAATCAATCGAAGAACATTTTTCAGGAAGGTGCGAAATCCTTAAATTTTCTCTTCTCAAGAACTGTTTAACGTTGTAACATTTCCCTTTCAACTTTTGCAATTATAAACTTCATTTTTTAAAGTAATGTAAAACTTTTGGCTACAAACGTTTGGTAATTTGAAACTTTTTCAAACAATAAGAACATAAAACAATATAGGAAGAAATCAATAACTATATGTGATTATTTTCTAACACGGAATTACTTTTGAAACGACTAGTCGTATAATTGTTTTTAAAATTTATTTAAGATGCCACAACTTTCAACCGCTCTCTTGCTTAAACTATTGGGACCGAATTCCAAATTGTGGATCAAAGAAAAAAAAAAGGCATGTTAATTCAGATAAAGCAGATTAAGCATTTTTCTTTTTCGCTTAACATATAAACTGCACTAATTACTTAGCATGCGTGAAGTAAATTAATTTAACTACAACTATTAAGATTGCATGTTAAAAAATGAAAATCTAATCTATTAATTAGTTACTAAGCATCACAGCCATATGACGCTGTAATGTTAATCTCAAGGATAAACGAAAGATAATACAATCCCAAAATGCTTGTTAAATATAACAAAAGATAGGTGTGTTTTCTCATTAACTGTCTCCACCTTTCGAAAATATTTTGCGCGTTGATTATAAGAAGGTATGATCAAAGAAAAGAATAATAGACCAGTAGAATTTAAAGACGATTGTCTCGGAGAAACATCTCTTTTCTGGGTCAACGGTGTAAACACGTGAGATCGAATTCATGTGAAACATTTTAAAGTTAATAATAAGTGAATTTTTCATGGTGTAATTTGCTTTGTTTAAAAAAATTCTTAATGCATGTGAATACAAGTGGTTAATATATGATTCTTTCCAAAAAATATTTCACTTACATGAATCATCTTTAATAATTTTCTTATAACTTGATCATATTTCAGTTCTTTTGTGCATTTTCATTCCTTATTAAGAATTATTTAGATATGTTGAAAGTAATGTTCGTTAACATGCACGCTTATTTCGTTAATCAGCACATAATGATCCAATTGAAAAATTAGAATGTTTTTTTTTGAAGTGTTAAGAATTATTTATTCGAAGAAAATATTTACAATACGATATTATAAATATTCAGATATTATATACCGCCATCATAGTGAATCTATTTAAATTAAATATCATTATTACAATAAGAGTTAAATAGATTTAACTCTTATTTCTGTAATACCGATAAGATTGACAATAAAATGATACAATTAAAGACAAGATTATTATGTTTGGAAAAAATATTAAATTTTTTCGAAAAAATAAAGCTGTTCAGGTGAATTTATTTTTTTTTGAATATTTTTAATACTTTTCATATTTTAATTGACAAACTCATTTTCATTTAATGTAGTATTTTAAAAATTAAACAGCAATTATTAGAGATTTTTCAATTGTGTTATTTGAATCTAAAATTTCAATTGAAATCACAACTTAAATTTAATTAATTGTACTAAATTGTACGATTTTTTGTTATAAAGTGCCAAGTAGCAATTGGTTATGATTAAGAAGAAAATGATTTGAACTATTGAGAAAAAAAAACTTTCTTTGAACACTAATTATAATGTCCACAACAATTTAAATCCCGAATGAAAACCGACTGCAAAAAATTTCAAAAAGAGTTAAGAAAAAAAGAAGTTATAGCAGATTATAAAAGACGAAATGTCAGAATTTACTTATAGATAAGGTATTATTTTCACTGAATAGAACAAAAATAAAACATATAATTTAAGAGAGAAAAAAAGAATCAATAGTAAATATTCAAGTTATC